TTGTGATGATCAGGAAATAACAGAAAAAATCTGTCGTCAATTCAGTGTATAAATAATGGACCAACAATTGGTATGAAAAACGTCAGTCAGCATATGACTCATCAATGTACCCGGGGTATACAAATATGACCAATGAACTTTCAGAGGCGGTAAAAGAAGTGCTATCGAAATTCGACTGCAGCATGCACTCAGACATTCCTCTTGACACAGCTGACTTGATATTTTTTCTAAAGTGCATTCTAGAAAACATATTATTTGAAATCAATGGTATAACAATCAAACAATCGTGTGTCAATGGGAAGCCCAGTATCTGAAATGTTAGTAAACAACTCTGAATACAAACAGAAATTTTACTTTCATGGGCGATTCTGTGATGACGGATTTATGATAGCTCGAAATGGATTCCTGCTGATTTCTCTAGTTTAATAGCATTATGGACATTTATATTTAAAAAAAACAGACAAATAGGATGTTCTGGCTTTTCAATGGTAAATATGTGTCCCAAAGTATTCAGTATACAATCAACTAAAATAAGTTTTTGGAAATTAATACAGAGAGATATTCAATGTTATATTCATATATCTTTAATGGTATTTTTATTTCGTAAAATGAGATAGAATCTATCGCAAATGACATAATGTCTCAGGCAACGACATACTGTGGGTTTATTGTCTGATGAAAAACGGTGAAGATAACGAAGAATGATGATTTTGAAATATCCAGAAACAATACAATTCTGAAAACAGGGCATACAAAGACCCCCAAAATAGCAGAGGTGAATGGGATCCGGTACCAAGAAAGAGTAAGCATCCCCTGTTGACCTGTCACACCCGACTTGAGGACTATGAACATATCAGATTAACAGAATATCTCCGTCGTCGAATTGAGTATAAAAAACAAAGGCCGAATAATTTTACCTAATTACAGTGTATACTAACTTCTAACTGAGGTCGTTGAAACCCTTGGTAACATCAACTTTCATGGATCTGTCAGAAGCCTGCCACGGTATAAAAATTAATCGTGCTTTTGGATACTGCATAAGTTGGTACGCAATAACATCATACACAAATGATACTGGATATATTTCTAAATAAATAAGGAAAAATGATGATGGAAAAATCTGAAGTCATCCCGTTTGTCAGACAATGTATTTGGTAGTTGGTCTTCATCGTCTTTAGTCAGTTAAACGTCCATGAATCAAACGTGGCAAACATAAAAAGGACATACATTTTCTGCATGTCTGAAATACATACAATAATATAATGTGCATCAAATTTTATTCATAAACAGTGGTTTTTGTAAATTTCATTTTAAATATATAGAGGTTATAATGAAGAATTTCAGTGCATTCAAGTCTTTTAACATGGTCGTCTGAGAAAACATTCATTTACGCGTAAGGGGGCATTTAAACTTAAATTGACTTCAGTGTACATGCCAAGTTTAGGGAAAATCTACCGTTAAGTATTTTAAAGGGATCGTCTCAGGTACATTTATTATAGGATATTATGTAGGAATATGCCAATTTTCACACTTTTAAGAACATTATACAAACACTACACTATATCTTTTGCTCAATTACTAATATACGATGGGTAATGATGTATAATTATACATTTTATGTAAGAACACAAAACTCTACATTCTCGTTTCCGTAGGGGGCAATTCAAAATTTCAAAATAAATCAAATTTCCCTGTTTTATAGAGTACTACAAAATATGACAGATACAAAAAAAATGTATCAAAAATATTCCTACGTTTTAATGAGGCCGAGTCTAATTCGAGTGCGCATGACTTTGCGCAGGTTTTTAACTTCATGCAGTCGTATGTGCGACAGTACACCTGTGCCAAATATTGTGATTTTAATACAAAATTAACATTATCTGTAACACTTTCAGGTCTGAAAATGTGATTTAACAACAAATATTAGGGGGAAAGTGAGTATACATGTACTAGCAATCTAAACCTAGATGGTCATTTTTTTTTTGGATATTTCACAATTTTTGGTGATGTTTTACAATTACTTTCATCAACTTGACTAAAACCGAAATTGATAGAGCAGAAATACAAAAAAATATTGAAAACATTTGATAAACTTGCGCTTTTCCAGCAAATATCCATAGGGTCCATTGTAAAATTTGACAACTCTTGAAACCCTAGGAAATCGGGGTGGAAAACATTCGAATGATTAATCTTAAAAGAGTAAATATAACAGGAAAAGGATGTATTCACTATGACAAAAGAATTGACATATAGGAGAGAATAATTTCCCGGAAAAAAGTGATAATTAAATATTAATCTTTAATTTTTGTCTTCTACAGTATATATGTCTAAATTCTTCAAATATGTATTCATACAAGTAATTTATTATTTACAACTTTACAATAAACGTCGAAAGTTGGCCGAAACACCATAATGATTTTGTCCATCAAAGCGTTGATTTTTGCATGGATTGTGGCCTAGAAGTCCTTCAAGGCAGGCCTGTCCCTAAATAAAAATTGTGATATTTTTATAGGTTAGAATGTAATGAATAATTAAAGATAGGATTTTTTAAGGGACACCCCTGCCCTAGGGTCGAAATTCACAAAAAACGACAAAAAATAAGGAAACCTTATTTTGATAATCTGCTTAAAATTTATGCCATTAAATTTTATAGTCAGACTAGCTCAGTTGATATATGTGCCGATTAAAACATGTATGAAGTTTTTCCCTGTTTTTGAACCCTAATACAGTCCTATGGACCTATTTGCAAATTAAAATTTAATAATGTTCTCATAGTATTATTCAAATCATGCTAATTTTAAGTTCAATTAAGAGCTGCACACGGCATGATACTCTGTTCTTTACAGCATCCACTCGCACTTTCATCCTCCATTGCGTCTTACAATATATCATTTAATTCTTTATTTGTCGAGCTGCAGCCATAATGTGTACCAAATCTGATTCCAGTTTTACTTGATTGGTAGAATTTTTTGAACTCTCGGAAGAATTGAAATCTGACTTTACAATCAAGTACACCCTTAATTTTTCACCTTTTCAAAGACTTTTTTAATTTTTGTATAGACTTGTGCATTTTCTTTCAATTATCTATCCTTTATGCATGCCCATTCTTGATATAAGAAACACTAAAGAGAGATCAAATCTTAACAATCCAATGTACAGTTGTCACTGAGGCGGAACAAACCTCAGTGTAAGCACACATTCTCCGAGGACAATAATAACTCACTCTGTGGTACTCGATACAGGTATTCTTGGGAGCATTGACGTGGGATGAATTTCAATTGTATACTGTAGAAGTGGAAAACATTACGGTGTTTTTAATTTCACTATGTTCACGATTCAAGAATTTTCCGCGAACTTTAAACCATCGTGATTATTATTTCACGTCATTTCTACCTAGAAACAGTCATAGTACATGAATATTTACAAACGATTCTCCGTGAAATTATAACCACCGTGAAAGGTAACTTTCTAACAAACCGTGAAATTTTAGACACGTGAAATTAAAAATTAAATCTACAGTATATTCCTTAGAATTTAATCACATTGACTTTGGCTTCATATATCAGTAACTGTTTTCCCTTGGATTTCATTTAGGCCTTTATAATTTGCACACATTAATGCCATTTTTTATTATATCCACGGATAAGTACTTAGACATAAAGAATAGAATTTCAGAGACAGTAGACATTGCCATTATGCACAATGAGAAGTAAACTTTTAAGACAAATATCAAATATTACATTTGGAGATAAAAAAAAAAACTCAGAAAATCAATGAAAAGGTTTCTTCTACCTCTACTCACGGAAATAAAAATTTAGGAAAATAAATTGTTATGTGTATTCAGCCTAATGTCATTAATCTGAACGGAAATCGAAAACCTTTTTGTTGTATAATCTAATGATAAGATCAACAAATCATTGTTTAATCCCAAATTAATTCAGTTGAGTATTTTAGCCAACAGGTCTCTTGATTTTTATTATTTCCTAACAATTTCAAATTTAAACCTTACGGGTTTCTTTATTTTACGTGGGTCATTTTTCTTTACGTAGTGTATACAGATTTTTGGGGTGAAGAAACTTTTCTGAGGGCAAAAGGGCAAGTTCTCGACGTCATATAATACCGAGTGCATTTTTCGAACGGTTGGTATTATCTGAGGGCAAAAAATTGACCCCTGATCATTATTCTAGGGGGTTATTATTGTTATTTACACCGACAATTTTTTTTTCTTCTCTAAGTACACGTAATCAATAAAATGCACTAGTATTGGAAAATTCAGATTCAAATTTATAAAATAATCTGAAGCTGCCAGGTTTCAAAATAAATAGAGGTCTAGGAATCTATATATGCATAATTTAATTGTAAAAATGAATATACGTAGAAATCTAAGAAAACACCATAAGAATGTCACATAACATATCTTCGATAGAATATACTTTTTATATAAAAATGTTTTTACTATAGGTTTGATATCAGATATGTAGAACTAGCATAACTTACCGATTACGTAGAATCACAAAAGTCTACACGTTTTAAATACAAAAATACGTACATAAACATCAGCTTAGTTTTTATATGCTAGAGCGACAGCATTTCATTCTTCATTTTCGTGAACTGAAAGTCGTGAGTTTGAATCTCGGCTGCGACTGACCTAAGTCGATATAAAAATAGATAACAATTGTTCTTTCGTCATGTGCACTTTGAAATGAAAGCTGGAGGTCCTTCGGATAAGACTGTGTCATTGCAGGCGCTGGAAATAAAGATCCATCACCTCTCATCAGCCCTGATTGCAGTGTAAAGGTAAAAATTTGAAGCCCTTCACTTGTATACGGCGACGCGACGTCTCTATATGAGTGAAAACATTCTCAAAAGGGACGTAAAACAAATTCATGATTAATCAATCAATCATCCTTCGTTTTACCCTGCTAGAGAAAACGACGCAATTTTCATCTAGATTTCGTAAGATTGAATAGTTCTTCCTTGCGGGCGCATGATGCGGCAGTTCATCCATCATTGTTAAGCTGAATAAGCATATCTGGATAATGTTGCATGATATGTTGCCACATCTCTAATTTAGAATTCATGCAAGCAATGTGATAAATATTAAAGCCATGTTTGTTTTTATGTGTCAGATCGACGCCATTTTCTGCCAGAAGTTCTATAATTTCAACGTTTCCTCCTTGAGCGGCGTATAATGCGGCATTCCATCCTTCATTATCTACCTGATTAAGCATATCTGGATAATGTTGGACGATATGTTGGCACATTTCTAATCGGGAACTGACACAAGCAATGTGAAGAATATTTCTGCCAAGCTTGATGTTATTTGTCATGTCGATGCCCTTGTCTGCCATAAGTTTTAAAATTTCAACATTCCCTCCTTGTGCGGCGTAAAATGCAGCATTCCAGCCTTCATCATTATCCACCTGCTTAAGCATATCTGGATAACGTTGGACGATATATTGGCACATTTCTAATCGGGAAAACATACAAGCAATTTGAAGAATATTTCTGCCAAGCTTGTCTTTATATAAGAGGTCAACGCCTTTTTTTGCCAGAAGTTCTAAAATAATAACATTTCCACCTTTTGCGCAGCATAATGCAGTATTGCACCCTTCATCACCTACCTGATGAATCATTTCTGGATAATGCTTGATGATATATTGACATATTTCTAATTTGGAATACATACAGGCATAATGGAGAATGTTAATGCCAAACTTGTTTTTATATCTCATGCCGACGCCTTTTTCTGCGAGAAGTTCTAAAATTTCAACAGTTCCCCCCATTGAAGCATAACAAGCAGCATTGTTCCCTTCTTTAGTTACCTGCTTAAGCAAATCTGGATAATGTTGGACAATATGTTCGCACATTTCTAATTTAGAATGTAAGCAAGCAGTGTGAAGAATATTTCTGTCAAACTTGCTTTTGTATGTCATGTCGACGCCTTTTTCTGCAAGAAGTTTCAAAATTTCAACATCCCCCCCTTGAGCGGCGTATAATGCAACATTCCACCCTTCATAATTATCTATCTGCTTAAGCAAATCTGGATAATGTTGGACGATATGTTGGCACATTTCTAATCGGGAATGGACACAAGCTAAGTGAAGAATATTTCTGCCAAATTTGTCTTTATATGAGAGGTCGACGCCTTTTTCTGCAAGAAGTTTCAAAATTTCAACATTCCCTCCTTGAGCGGCGTAAAATGCAACATTCCACCATTCATAATTAGCCATCTGCTTAAGCAAATCTGGATAATGTTGGACGATATGTTGGCACATTTCTAATCGGGAATTGACACAAGCTAAGTGAAGAATATTTCTGCCAAATTTGTCTTTATATGAGAGGTCGACGCCTTTTCGTGCCAGAAGTTTTAAAATTCTGACATTTCCACCTTGTGCGCAGGATAATACAGCACTCAGCCCTTTATAACCCACCTGATTAAGCATATCTGGATAATGGTGGATTATATGTTGGCACATTTCTAAGTTAGAAAACCTACAGGCAAAGTGGAGAATATTCATTCCATGCTTGTTTTTATAAGTCATGTCGGCGCCTTTTTCTGCCAACAGTTTTAAAATTTTAACATTCCCTCCTGTTGCAGCATAACAGGCAGCATTGTTTCCTCCATTGTCTACCTTATTAAGCAAATCTGGATAATGTTGGACGATATGTTGGCACATTTCTAATCGGGAAAACACACAAGCAATGTCAAGAATATTTCTGCAAAGTTTGTCTTTATACATCAGATTAACATCTTTGTCTGCCAGAAGTTCTAAGATTATTACATTTCCTCCTTTTGCGGCGTAAAATGCAGCATTCCACCCTTCAGAAATATCAACCTGCTTAAGAATATCTGGATAATGCTGGATGATTCGCCAGCACATATCTAATTGAGAATTGACACAAGCAATGTGAAGAATATTACTGCCAAACTTGTTTTTATATGTCATGTCGACGCCTTTTCCTGCTAGAAGTTCTAAAATTTCAACATTCCCTCCTTGAGCGGCGTATAATGCAGCATTCTGTCCTTCATTATTTACCTGTATAAGCATATCTGGATAACGTTGGACGATATGTTGGCACATTTCTAACTGGGAATGTACACAAGCGATATGAAGAATATTTCTGCCAAACTTGTCTTTATATAAGAGGTCGACGCCTTTTTCTGCTAGAAGTTCTAGAATTTCAACATTCCCACCTTGTGCGGCGTATAGTGCAGCATTAAACCCTTCAAAATTATCTACCTGTTTAAGAATATCTGGATACCTTTGGACGATATATTGACACATTTCTAATCGGGAATTGACACAAGCAATGTGAAGAATATTTTTGCCAAACTTGTTTTCATATATCATATTGACGCCTTTTTCTTGCAGAAGTTCTAGAATTTCAACGTTTCCTCCTTGTGCAGCGTATAATGTTGCATTCCATCCTTCATCATCTACCTGATTAAGCATATCTGGATAGCGATTGATGATATATCTACACGCATCTGTCTTTCCATTCTTGCAGGCAGCATTTAGAGTAGAAACTTTTGTATTGCTTTCATCTTTGATGTCTGTTATTCTGGCGCTTGTTTCTTCTAAAATATACATGTAACCTCTTTCATGATATGGAACATTTGGTTTAGCATCCATTTCCAGTGACTTTCTTAGAAGATTTTCATTTTCTGTTGCATGCAGGTTGATATCTTCGTACTTCCTCTTTCTGTTTTCTGAAACAATAATTTTAATGGAATATGCGTACCATTTAAGTAGACTTTTTAGCGAGACACACATTTGAAGAATTATATTAAAAGTATGCTTTCAACAAAAAGTAATTGTAGCAATTGTTAAATGCAAAGAAAGATATTATACTAACTAATTGAGTATTTGTTAGCGACATTCAATTTCATCGATCTCAAAGTCCTCTCTAAAAGCGCCATAATTTAATCCTCGTTTTAGCAATCCTCGCTAAAAATTCTGCTTATACATACATGTATCAATCAACTGTTTAGTTTGGAAGGGTTGATCCATAAAATTATCAATTTCTTACATTTACTAGCGATGTTTGTTTTCTGTAGTTTATGATAAATAGTGGCATTTTAAAAATGAGCGACCATGCATGATGCTACTTACGCTGTGCGATCGCGCGAGGTGCAGTAAAAATGATAGAAGAAGAATAGGAGTAAGAAACTGAACAAACCCAGTTAACTGCTTCGGGTTCTCCTTGAACTTTTTTAATTGTGTCGGTTCTGAAACAGTAAAAAATTTTCCGACACAGTATCGAATCCAATTTAACTCGTGCGAGACAGTAAAAATTTTGCTGTTATCATAAGAAAATCAAAAATAAATTGTTTGTAAATGAAACCTTTATCAAACACCCACAAATATCGATAGTGCGCAAACACTTATCTCCCATTACATGTAATTATTCCTGTTGAAAAAAGATTATATGATTAACAAGTTCTGTAGAATTTCTAAGTATTTACACCAAAGAACCTGAAGAACTTCTTTTTTATTTGTTTACTTTGCATTTAGAATGAGCGATAACCAAGTATTTAAGTAGTTAATTTAGCCCAATGCACCAAATGCATATTTCCTCCATAGTTTAACAAAATTACCGAGAAAAATAATCTGGTTCGAGTAAAAAAAAATGCTGAATCTTGTAATGTGTCCAAGGGATTTTCGTAAACTGTTTCAGTATTTTAACGGTAACATTGAATTGATTTTGCGTTTTTTTTGTTTGTCGGTTTGTTGTTAAAGTTATGGTTGGGGTGCAATAATAATAATAATAATAAAATATAGCATGAATGTCTCTGTAAACATGAAAATTCATTCAGCCAAGAAATCAGGATAAATCTTCACATTTCTCTCTCGATCATGCAAATTATATTTAATTTATATATTTACCTCCTTTCCTTCTCCTATTGACGAAATACAGAAGTAACAAAGAAATCAGCAGACAGAATGTCATAGTTCCAAATACAACAGACAATGCTAAAGAAACTACATCCTCTGCCTCCTCTTGAGACACTCCTGGGGTGCATGGCTTGCTATCAATTCATTAAAAAGCATTTATGAATTATACGAGGATAAAACGTGAAAATATCAAGCCAGATGAATGCTCAACAGTTCAATCTAAACACTGCAAACTGAGAAAAGGGCAAAAAGGACCCCTAAAAACATCAGAGTTTGGACGAACTGCAGAAGAACAGTAAGCATTTCATTTTATCCGATTAGAATTGCCATACGACCCTTTATTGACCAGATGAATATTTCATTAAAAATAATTCCGTTTACCTGAAAAATACCGAGGTGACCGATCAACAGGGGATGTTAGGCTGTCATAAGCATTTTTACTGCCCCAGCTCTTCCCGTTTGTATATTTTTCAAAATATACAAGGTTTTCGAATATTGTATCTAAATAAGCCCCACATTAAACTCGTGATCTAGTGGTGTACATACCAAAATGTAAATTGTATGCCATATTTTGATCAGATTGGGCTTGCAGTTACTTGCATTCGGAATGAACTTACTGGTATCTAAAACTTCAAACAAGTAACTCATCCAGAAAATGTCATTAAAATTCAGAATGATGGCAGCTTCTGAGGCAAATTTAAAAGTGTACATATCTTGATAATCAGCTCCGAAACTTTAACCTAGTCCCTCATCGGTAAAATGTAGGTTTGACTTATTTTCATCGAAAGCAGGTCCAGAAGTGTGCATTCGTCGATTCATCTATGCAAGTTTGATCAACATAGGTCATATAGTTAATTCAGAATGACACTGAAAAACCCCCTCAGTCATTTGGAAAATATATACTATTAGGTCAAATCCAGCATAAGAAGCAAGCCTTGTAGTGTGCATCCTTAATTGTATCATCCTTGCAAGTTTGATCAACAAAGAGCTTATAGTTTCTTCACAATGAACCTGCTTCAAATCTTTTCGTCTGTGAGTGCAAAGGGGTTTACGATCTAGGTTTACTTATAAACAGTGAAATTATATGGGTAACAAGTATTTCTGAGATGTATAAATTTGTAGCTATTATAAAATCAAAATGCAATATCGAATTTATGCCTAAAACAAATTTTAAATACGCCCGACTCCTGGACAAATCTACAAACACATGAGCTACATTTTGTCCTTGCCTGTGTTGCGCTTGCAGCTTTTGTCAAGATTCCTTTAACTAAGGAAAAACTTCAAATTTTTATTTTATTGAAATTTTAAAGTACAGTCGCGTCTTACAATTTTATTAAATCAGCATAAACTTTTTTCAATAAATGTGATCAGAGGGAAAGTTTTTCATTCTTTGAAAATCGAATAAATAGATATGGTTTTATTGTATAAATTATTCTATTAAACTCCTCATATTTACCAATTCTTATCGATGCATTTTGAATCTGCAATGTAACATCCTCTTGCAGAATTAAGTTCTAGACAAGCAGGGTCTGAAAACAGAAAAATAAAAATAACTTAGTTTTATTTAAGGTCTTTAGTTTACAGTGGTAAAACATACTGATTCTGCTGGTTAAGATTATTATTCTTTTCAAAAGGTCATCCGTCTTCAGCAGAAGACCCTACTGTTATTTTTAGGTTTCTTTTCCACTATTCTTGATATCTTTATTTTACTAATTTTGTGAACGCAAGTTCTCGGAAACTTTCAGGTCTGAAAATCTAGATATATGGGGGGTTTTTATTATTATTTTGATGACGTCATTTTCGGTCTTTAGATTCATTTCTGGAGCAAAAGTTTAATTTGTCCGAACATTTTGTTGAAAAAATCTTACACAGCAACGAAATATTTACAGTAATGATAAAGCAACATATTAGTATTACAAAGAATTTGGTAGTTCATGTTTACCCAAACGTCGACGTCCCCTGAATCCTTCTTTTTCCATGACATTAAGTTGATGCATTGTAGCTTACTAATTCCGCAACGGATTTTGATAAAATGTTCCAAGTTTATATACGTTGGAATCCTTTTTATAACCGCAGTTTCTAAAGAAAGTTCGGGTATATTGTAGTTACTCATGTCCGTCCGTCCATCTGTCCGTCCGTCCGTCCGTCTGTCCCACTTTACTTCCCTGAACTCCTCCTACATTTTACATTGTAGCGTAATCATCTTTTGGGAGATGGTTGGTGGTGTCATGTAGATGTGCAGTATGGTTTCTGAATTTTGATTTTGCCTCGGGGGGTCAAATGGGGGTCGAAAAATGACGTTTTTATGCAAAAAGCACCGTCTTCCCTGAACTCCTCCTACATTTTACATAGTAACCTATTCATCTTTTGGGAGATGGTTGGTGGTGTCATGTAGATGTTCAGTAAGGTTTTGGAATTTTGATTTTGCCCCGGGGGGTCAAATGGGGGTCGAAAAATGAAGTTTTTTATGCAAAAAGCGCCGTCTTCCCTGAACTCCTCCTACATTTTACATAGTAGCCTAATCATGTTTTGGGAGATGGTTTGTGCTGTCATGTAGATAAGCAGTAAGGTTTCGGAATTTTGATTTTGCCTTGGGGGGTCAAATGGGGGTCGAAATATGACATTTTTTATGCAAAAAGCACCATCTTCCCTGAACTCCTCCTACATTTTACATAGTAGCCTATTCATCTTTTAGGAGCTGGTTGGTGGTGTCATGTAGATGTGCCGTAAGGTTTCAGAATTTTGATTTTGCCCCGGGGGGTCAAATGGGGGTCGAAAAATGACGTTTTTTATGCAAAAAGACCCATCTTCCCTGAACTCCTCCTACATTTTACATAGTAGCCTAATCATCTTTTGGGAGATGGTTGGTGGTGTCATGAAGATGTGCTGTAAAGTTTCGGAATTTTGATTTTGCCCCGGGGGGTCAAATGGAGGTCGAAAATGACATTTTTATGCAGAAAGCACCGTCTTCCCTGAACTCCTCCGTCATTTTACATAGTAGCCTATTCATCTTTTGGGAGATGGTTGTTGGTGTCACGTAGATATGCAGTAAGGTTTCTGAATTTTGATTTTGCCTCGGGGGGTCAAATGGGGGTCGAAAAATGACGTTTTTTTTGCAAAAAGCACCGTCTTCCCTGGACTCCTAAATTTTACACAGTAGCCTAATCATCTTTTGGGTAATTAATATACATGTCATATGTGAAAGTCATATCTCTTCTCAATCAAAAGTTATAGGGAAATGCTATATTTTTGAAAAGTAGGTTAAGCTTCAAGGTCAAGGTCACAGATTTATGATTTATTTAGAAAGGTCTTAATTCATAGGAAATAATATACATGCATGCATATTATGAATGTCCTAACATTTCTCTTTCAAAATGATGAATTTAAAACATGTATTAATATTTTTGCATGCAAGTAGGTCAAACTTGTAGGTCAAGGTTAAAAAAATCATGGCATTGTCACAGCTAAATACAAATACATACCGGTATGTTTAATATGAATGCCTGGTCTCTTCTCCTTCGATAGATATGACCGTGATGACCAAGGTTAAATTTATTGAGACAGATGGACAGACTGACATACAAATGTACATATTTCAATGTGAATAATGGTTAAAATTGGCCCATTGGTTCAAGAGAAGAAGTAAAAAATGTAAAAACTTTCCAGACAAACAGATGGACAACAGGAAACCTGAGAAAAGCCCAAATGAGTATTTTGAAAGGGTTACCATGGTTGATGAAAATGTATGACATGTATCCATTGTTAAAAAAAATTGAACATTTCAGGAAACAGTATGATTGAATATAGTTAATCAAGGTGTTTTGAGTAGCAAAATAAAGCTAGTAAACTTTTATAGCTAATTTAATTCAACCACAAAACTTAGTCAATTTTAAGATGCACAACCTTTTCATCTTTTTTAATAATTATTTTTAAAATATCTGTATCATCATTTCTGATTCAAGGGAGAACAAGAGATATGACCAACATGTTCATATTTTATAATTTATTATTTTTTTTTAGTAATTTGTTTGTTTATTGTGAAAACATCTCTCTCGGGAATACACATGTGAAATCAGAAATCCCTAATACTTCCTGTTCAAAAGTTAATAGCCAAGTCTAATTTTTTTTAAAGTGGGTCAAACTCTATGGTCAAGGTCAAACATATTTATACCTGTTGAAAGTTCACTATGAATACACATGTTAAGCATGAAAGCCCTAGCACCTACTGATCAAAACTTAGGCCAAGTATAAAGATTGGTATAATTCTTGTAACCAGAAGTCTCTGTTGAGACTGTAGCTCTACTGGTTTGTACTTATAACAAAGGATGAAAAAAGAAGCCATTGCCCTCAGACCAAAACTGTAGAAGGAGTAGCGTTTAAAAGGAATTTAATTGAACATTTTATTTTTCAATTAACCATCGCAACAACGTTCATCGAAATCAAAAACTGATGCACTATTTTATGTATCTTAGTATAGTCTACTTGTGTGCCAAGTTATATTGAAATCAGATCACAACTGTAGGATGAGTAGCGTTTTAAAGAAATTTCACAGAAAATTCTATTTTTAGTAACCATGGCAACAACGTTCATCGAAATCAAAAACTGATGCACTATTTTATGTATCTTAGTGTAGTCTACTTGTGTGCCAAGTTATATATTGAAATCAGATCACAACCGTAGGAGGAGTAGCGTTTAAAAGAAATTTCACAGAAAATTCTATTTTTAGTAACCATGGCAACATCGTTCATCGAAATCATAAACTGATGCTCTATTTCATGTATCTTAGTGTAGTCTACTTGTGTGCCAAGTTATATTGAAATCAGACCAAAACTGTCGAAGGAGTAGCGTTTTAAAGAAATTTCACAGAAAATTCTATTTTTAGTAACCATGGCAACATCGTTCATCAAAATCAAAAACCGATGCACTATTTCATGTATCGTAGTGTTGTCTACTTGTGTGCCAAGTTATATTGAAATCAGATCAAAACTGTAGGAGGAGTAGCATTTTGAAAAATTGTTTACAGACAGACGGACAGACAGACGGACAGACAGACGGACGGATGACGGACACCTTACTATCGCATAAGCTCTTCTGGTCTCTGACCAGTAGAGCTAAAAATGGGTAAAAATCTAAGGTCAAGGTCAAGAGGTCAAAATTGGTGGTACCCAAATAAAGGGTCTTGTCACAAGGAACATATGCAATGTGGAAGCCATGAGTATAGCCCATCCTACTTAAAACTTAACTTATAGGCAAGGTTAAAGTTTCTGCTGACAAACAGACAGACATAATATAAACGCAAGATATAAAATATGTATATACTAGTCAAATGGGAAAAAAACTACTAATTTGGAGTCACAAGATCTATTGTAATTTCAGAGGCAGGGAGTGGCTAGGGAGATTGTAACACCCCCACCCCCCTCTTTGGAATTTTCATTGTTATTTGAATAAGACTGTATACTGAAGCAAATTAGAAATGACTTTGGACATCCCCCTTAGAAAACATTGACCGAACGACCCCACTATCATTGTTTTTATTTTGTTAATTTGTTTTTAGTTTTTTTTCTTTGCTTGTCAGGAAATTCTGGACTGGACTTTTTTTTGACTGGGGTGTGAACCCCCCTCCCGAAAAAAATCTGGATCCAGTAGCTATTAAAATGTCACATCGACAACGGGAGAAAACTTCACAATGTGACTGTGGCATGCGATGATCTTTGACCCTTTTTGAACTTTAACATCATTTGCGGTTTATTTTATTTTAGTCTATACTTAAACTTGTACTTACCGACTGTCATAGGTCTCAACTTCATGAAATATAATCCAATTAAAACACAAAATGAATTATTTCAATATACTCCAAACTGCGCCGTGCGCTTATATTCCATTCGGCAAACCTTCAATCCTTATCAAATGAAGTGGGAATCGGCCAAGGTGTGCCGAGTGATGCTTAATCTAAAAATTTGATAAATGGGTGACGCAAAAAATGTGGTGTAGAATTTTTCCAAAAGGTGTTTAAATGTAAACATGTATGGTAAAAGAACATATTTTAAGTTAATTCATAACAAACAATGTTTTAACGACTTTTCCATCGAGCTTATTTAAAAAAAAACGTACGTACCGTGTGTTTGTGGTGCCGGAAGGGGGGGGGGGGGGCTATTAGTAAATTTAAAAGGCTTTTTTATGAGCAAAACATCAAAATCTAATTCACATCATTTATTAATTTCTGGGTTTTTTTTCAGACTGGTAATGAATTTAGCATATATATAAAATACATATAAGATCTTCTGAGTCATAGGTCACATGGGTCACAGGGTCCGGGAATTTCATATTCAATTTGACGAATACATGTTCCATGTATATTATAGAATTATTTTGGCTTTTCCTTGGAAAGCCTAATATGTAGGAGTGTGTATTTAGAGGCAAACACCTTAGTGCGGGTATTACTGTCTCATGACAGCATCTAGTTCAAATTGTTGTTATAGATTTTAAAAATTCCCTTTAATTTCCGAGTTATATCCCCTTAATTGAAAATTATTTTTTGGGTTAATTTTTTTTCTTTCAAAAAATTTCTGGATTGGATTTTTTCTTTTGGACTGGGGTCGACCCCACCCCCTGAAAAATAATTCTAGGTCCGTGCCTGACTCTACCTTTGGATATTATATGTCATTTTTTGATGTAATTGACCCAGTATTTCTAAGGAATGTGAAAGTGCGAAAATTTACAGCAACGACAAAAACGACGAACAAATTTTGATCAGAAAAATTTACTTGAATCTTTCCTTCAGGTGAACGAAATGGATACCGATGTCTTACTGTTTTATATAAGTAAAATAAGTATTTAAGATATGTTTCAGAATTACATATGTACCGCATGTACGTTCCTGTCTAATTATTGAAATGAGTTGTTTACATAACTTTTGAATATCATTGGAATTCATTGTAAACCTAGATTTCACCTTACAAAATATTTTGCTTTAAATATTCTGAAACTAAATATTGAA